TGCGGATCCGTGGTCCGGGAACATGTCTCTGAACTCCTCCTCCTCCTCCTCTTCCTCCTCCTGCTTTTTCCCTCCCTTGCTTCTGAACAGGCTCTCCCTCTCCCTCGCCTCCTCCTCCCTCCGCTTCTCCTGCTCCTTCCACGCGACCCTGACCCCATGCAGGATTCTCACCAGCTCGTCCATCAGAGAACCCGTTTCACCCCCGTTTCTGACGGCCAGAGACAAATTCTCGAGCTCCATGAGGGCGATCTTGGCCATCTTCGAGGCGGCATCCGTCAGCCCATCCGAGGAGCACAGCTTAACCAGGTTCAGGTAATCCTCTTGGCACCTGCCAACCACGGGGAAGCGCAAGGGCTCGTGAGAGGGGGTTGGAGGGTGGTTGGGGGCTGTCAGAATGGACAGCCCGTGGCGGAGGCTCGAGACGGCGGAGAGGATTGGGGAGACGAGGTCCGGGAAGCCGGGGAGAAACTTCCTCTCCAACTTCGCCGAGAACCTTTCCAACGACCTGCCCCAGACCTCCGCCTCGTGCAACCTCTCCCTCGACCGCGCTTGCTCCTCCTTCGTCGCCAACTCGCTCAATCTTTCCATCCGTTCGAACGTGGGTCGAGGCGAGGCAACGTTGCTCGAGAAATTCTCCACCTCCTCCCTCAGATCGGAGAACGGCCTCGAGGTGGGCCTGACCGGGTGGTGGACCGAGTTCTCGAAACGATCCCTGGCCTCGTTCGAACGATCGATCGAGGAACGTTTGCCGGTCTCGCCCAAGATCGTGGATTGCAGGCGGTCGATCAGGATGGAGCGGTCCAACTCGGCCAGGTTCTCGCCGAGGTATGCCGATCTCAACGCCGCCTTTCGAACCGGATCGATGGATCCGAGATCGGCGAAGAGGAACAGTTGGACGCAGCCGAGCAACATCCACCCCTTCCCCCTGCACGCAGCGTCGTTCTCGGCTCTCAATCTTTGCTCGATGCCTCGCAACGCGTTCACAGGGGAGAGGAGGCGATTCGCCAAGTCCTCCTCCTCGGTCGGATTCAGCTCGATCGCGTCCACGATCTCGTTCACAGCGGACAGGTAATGGTTTATGTAAAATCGTAGGAGGACGGAGTCGTTGGTGGACACGTCGTATTCGGCCGAGTTGAGGGCGCAGGAGTTCCTCCATAG